AGACTCTATCCACGTTATTCTGCTCACATCAAAGACAATGATGAGATCTGCATAAAAATAGAGTATTTTTTTAAAGAAAAGTTGAAGCTCTTTCAAGTGTTAACCAAATACAGCACTCCTCCCTCATCCCTGAGGGATGTTCTAAACCCCCCAGTGGATGCCTGAAACCACAGATAGGACTGAGCCCTATATGTACAGTTTTTTCCTACATATACATACCTGTGATAAGTTTACACTACTCATGTCCTTTGGGACCATTAGTAATAAAATAAGGGTTACTTGAACACAGGCACTGTTATATCACAACAGTAAATCTGATAACCGAGACAACTACTAAGTGACTAATGGGTGGGAAGCATCAGCATGGAGAGAAAGAGGAAATATTGGGGCTGCTACAAACACTGAGTTAGAAAACAATGACAGAAATTTCAGTGTATTCAAAATCTGAAAATATTCCTGTCTTTTGAACCAGCATTTCTACTTCTAGTAATACGTGGACATGTTAGCAAAGATATCGGTGCAAGAATATCCACTGAAGTTTTATTATCAGTAGCAAAAATAAATACACCCCAATGTCAACAACAGAAACCACCCAAAAGTTCACCAATAGTAGCATGCTATAGCCATCATCCTGTGCAATGCTAGGCTGCTGACATCAACTGTGAGGTAGGATAATGGGTACTAACGGGGAAAAGACTAAAATTGGTTGGGGTAGAGCATTTGAAAAACAATGTGTTTATTATAAGACTACTTTTGAAAAAATATTAATGACAATAAAATTGAAGAGGAAGAAAGGTTAGTATATGAAGAAGAAAACCAATTGGCAACACTATTTTCCTAGTTTACTCAATAAGCAGACAGTCCTGACAGTGTGAAATTTGAAGTTTATAATTAATTATTAATGAAAAATTTTAATAAAATTTTTCTGTGTGCCAACACTATTGTTAATTTTTCATTGAGGTGTGAGATTAGAGAACATGCATTTTCAGGGATGTGTTTATGCATTTCACAGGTTTTGAGTCTGTTTCATACAAGGTGTATTCCAGTTGCTCAGGATACACATAAAACTTAAATTCTAGTTAGAAGAGATAGCAAACCTGCAAATAAATCGATTCACATTTGAATTCTGGATAAGCAAAGTCTATTACTATGAATAATAAGAAGATATGTTTAAGGCAAAAAGATAGGAGACCATGAACAAAAAAAAGGGGAAGCAGAGCCAGGGAATGTCAGTGGCCTTTCAGAACATGGAGGTAAAAGGCTGGTAACCACATAAAACCAATGCAGTAGACCTAATTTTCCGTCTATCAGTTCTAATAGTGCCCGGGATTTAAGCCCTGATATAGGGGCTTACTCAGATGGATGTCTTCCAGGCCAGAGATTATTTTTGGTTTACCACTTGTTTGTGGGTGGAAACTGAATATAGTAGCTGGTTCTTATACTTTTCACACTCTATTTTATTTATTTATATATATTTTGATTTCAGAGAGGAAGGGAGGAGGGAAAGACAGAAACATCAACGATGAGAGGGAATCATTGATTAGCTGCCTCCTGCACACCCCACACTGGGGATTGAGCCCGACACCCTGGCATATGCCCTGACCAGGAATTGAACTGTGACCTCCTGATTCATAGGTCAATGCTCAACCACTGAGCCATGCTGGCTGGGCCAGAGTCCTATTTAAACAAAAATTTATATTCTTTTCTGTTCCCTTTATTATATTAACCTTATTAGGAAAAGCTGTTCATAGGAAATGCAAATAATAGTCATAAATAGCATTTGTTCTTTTTACATTGAAAAAATCCTGAATTTTCAAATAAAACAGGTTAATTCCTTTTAAAAAAAATCATTGGTAAGGTACTAATAAAGGTTGGTTGGGATTTAAAATTTTTCATTAATAATTATAAACTTCAAATTTCACACTGTCAGGACTGTCTGCTTATTGAGTAAACTAGGAAAATTTGATAACATGTTCAAAAATAACTTTTGTTCAAGACCACATCAATCAGGTTTTCTTTGGTATTTGAGCACACTTTACAATTATAAGTCTTTAATAATTAGTTTGACCAAGCTGCTATGGTAGAGGAACAACTGAATCACTTAACTTTTTATAGCAAAGGTATTTTTAAAATTTTATAGATAGCATTTATTTATTCAGTGCAATTTAACAATTTTCTACCAAGGGCCTTCTCGTGCCAGACACATCATTGCGTATGCTCTAGACCAGCTGAGCCAATCCATTGAAGGATCTTTTAAAATTTGACTAAAGGAAGAAGAGTAATCCCTTCCAGTGAGGAATGAAGGTGAGATATGAAGTGAAGACCAGTAAATGGTCATGCTCTGACCCTCTAAACCAGCGGTTCTCAACCTGTGGGTCGCCTAAGACCCTCCTGCATATCAGATATTTACATTATGATTCATAACAGCAGCAACATGACAGTTATGAAGTAGCAACGAAAATCATTTTATGGTTGGGTCACCACATGAGGAGCTGTATTTAAAGGGCCAGAAGGTGGAGAACCGCTGCTCTAGACTCAAAAACTGGTAATCTAAGCAGACGGCGAGGTAACAAGGAAACAATACAAATGTTTGGGGGTATTTATAAGTGGGTATGGAGTGATTCCGTGTTTCTTAATACTGATCGATACTGCCTATGCTTTTCTAACCAGACAGTCCCTGAAAAGTAGGAAAAAAACATTCAATAATCTCTTCTATGCCAGAGTATAGTGGGACAGGGTCCCTTACAGGAGCAGTGAGAATCTTCAGGCTAAATTGCTTTAAATTTAACACTTCTTTCTTTGCATGCTCCCTTGATCTTTCCAATTATGTGTGCCATGAAGTTCTCATTTTTCCAGCTTTGCTTTTTAGAACCAGATGCAGACAACAAGCAATTATTTCTTGTTAAGAGAATACAAGTAGAAAATAAAAGACCTCTTTAAACTACAGTGTATCATCAAATGTGTGTGTATATGTGATTAGGGACAGATGAGGAAGAGCTGATCTGTTGTGTGCCAGCTTCTAAGGATATTTGAACAGTTTCCATTTCATTTTGTGTACACACACATCTATGATTACCCAAGTGTATGTACACATGTTGAAATATATGTACCTGGATATCCCCTCTTTAAAAATATATTTGATTTTTAGACAGAGAGGAAGGGACAGGGAGAAAGAGAGAAACATCCATGTGAGAGCAAAACATGGATCAGCTGCCCCCTGTCTGCCCCCAATGGAGGATCGAGTCTGCAACCCCTGCGTGTGCCCCCTGACTGGGAATTGAACCTATAACCCGTTGTTGCCCAGACTGATACCCTACCAACTGAGGCATTCTGGCCAGGGCACATGAATATCCCCTCTTATAATTCAAATCTTCAGTAAGTAAATATTTAGAAACCAACTCTGTTTGACTAGGCTGCTATGGCAACATAGCAAAGACTGGGTAGCTTATAAACAACACTTATTTCTCACAGTTCTGGAGGCAGGAAGTCCAGGATCGGAGCACCAGCATGATCCAGTTGATAGCCAGAGCCTCCTCGCTGTGTCCTCACCAGGTGGAAGGAGCTAGGGAGCTCTCTGGAGCCCCCTTTATAAGGGCACTCATCCCATTCAGTAGGGCCCCACCCTCCCATCCAGAGCATACACTAACATTCAGACTGTAGCAGAAACCAGCAGTTATATTGAAGCTTAAAACAAAAATCATCAGAGGTTAAAACAACACAAAGAAAACAGAGCTATAGTTATGTGCTCACCAGGTAAAGAAGAGCCCATGTCACTTAGAAAATGAGTTCTGTGGGGCTCCTTAAGCTGAAAGCAGAAATGCCAGCAACAGAGGGATGGGAGAGTTGTTCCACAATAGGAGGTGCCTGCAGAAGTTAGTCTAGGTTGTTAAAGTCTAGTTGGCTAAGAAAAGGATTATAAAATTTCCAGGGGGCTAGGCACTCTACTTTTTAAGTCACAAGAGTGCAGACAATTTTACGGAGTTGTGAGGAAACATTGTGCACAAGCTTAGGCCTTGGCAATTTTTTTCTTTTTTAAATCCTCACCGTAGGATTTGTTTTACTGAAGAGAGAAAGAGGTCAGAGAAACATCAATCAGTTGCCTCCCACCTGGGGATTGAACCGCAATCTAGGTATGTGCCCTGACCGGGAATATGCTCCAACCAGCTAGCCACACCGACCGACAGGACGTTTTTTCTTTACCCCTTGAAAGAGAAGTGCACAGTGATGACTCCACAGGCTCTTACAAGGGGTGAAGCCCATCAGCCCAGCATCCTGGCAGGTGTGCACCGTGACGATGCTGCTCTACGGCTGAGGGAACGAGAGCTCAGACAGGCTGAGCACCAACTCCACAAGCATTCATGGAGGAACGGTTCCCTGGACTTGCTCTTTCTCTAAAACGGCCCTGCCAAGTCTCGCTTCCCCTGAAGACAAAAACAAGATATTTTATTGCTTATTTAGGAAGTAGACATGTCATAGATGAGCAGTGAGGTGGATACGAAGCTTTTGCACACACCACTTCTGTTCTCTAAAACCTGAATGTGTATCCCGAGGAAACAGCTTTCGTGCTCTCAGAGTCAGCCAGGTCACCTGGGTTCACACCCCAGGCTTTTATTCTGCCCTGCTGCTGCTACTGCCTATTCTACATCCAAATACTTCCTGAAATTACAGATTAAAAAAACAAAACTCCCAAAGTTTTAAAAGGTTAGAGATTGTTTTTGTTACATTATCTGATGTTTCAATGACAGGATTCATGCACAATTTCATTGAAAGAGTTTATATTCATACTAGTAGATTCCTTTTTAGAGCCGTACTATATAAAATGGAACTTTGGTCAGCACATCTTGTCTTATAACATCAGTGCTCAGACCTCCAGCATCACAACAGGCTAGTCTTTTGTTTAACCACCCTCCCTCCAGATCCAGCGGCCGGAAGATACAGCACACAGACTGTTCACCCTCATGTTGGTGTCTCTTTGTCTTGTCTCTGCCTCTCTGCTCCAGGTGGGAGAGTTCCGAGCCCATGCTGCCGAGTGGACAGCCAATGTCACGGCTGAGTTCAAGGAAACCAGGAGGCGGCTGAGTGTGGAGATCTATGACAAGTTCCAGCGCGCCACTTCCATTAAGCGGAAGCTCTCTGCAGAACTGGCTGGGAACCACAACCAGGAGCTGACCCCTTGTAGGAGGACCCTGTCCGTGAACCACCTAGCCACCGAGAGGGACGTCTTGCCTCCCTTATTGAAAACTGAAAGTATCTATTTGAATGGATTGACGCCACACTGTGCAGGGGAGGAAATTGCTGTTATTGAAAACATTAAATAGCCCTCTCTTTGAAGAGCCTTAGGCATAGCCATAGGTGAGGACTTCTATATGCTCTTTAAGACTGTTGCTGGTAGCATTTTTAAAAATTGTGCATGAACTCCAAAAGGGGGAAAATAGATACACCCATCACGGTCATCTACCATCAAGAGAATTTGGAATTCCGAGCCAGCACTATCTTTCTGATGATGCTTGTACGGTCTATTTTCTTTGACCAGTGGAATAAAACAAGCAATGTCTGATGCCTTTCTGTGCCCAGACTGTTTTTCTCCCTTTTTCCTAATGTGCCATAAGGCTTCAGAATGAATTATAATTGTTTCCGGTCATAATGTAGCTTCGAGGGATGAGTCCTTAACTTTTCAGGGTCTACCTAACTGAGCCTAGATACGGACCATGTATGGATGACAACATTTCTTTTTGTAAATGGCAAGAAATTCTTATGCAGCCTTTTACCTAAGAAATTTTCTGTCAGTGCCTTATCTTACGAAGAAACAGAACCTCTCTAGTTAATATGTGGTTTCTCCTTCCCCGCCCCACCCCTAGGCTCACCTGCAGTCCTTTACCCCACGACTCCCATTTGAATGCCATACCTTGCTGGAAACAGCGTGTAAAATGACTGAAGTGGTGATGCCCGAAGAAGGACTAGATGCCAAATTAGATGGATATTGAAGCAACACTCAGAAACCCTAGCGTAAAAGGCACTGCAGCAAAAGAGGTGCACAGATGGCCCCTCTGAGTATTTATTTGTCTCAGGTACCAGTGGTACATATACACAGTGTAATGATTACCAGGCCAGTAAAATTGGCTGTTCCCAGTCTCTTTTTTCCTGGCAGTATTTGGAATTTATCATTTATTAATAAGTACATTTTTAAAGGTGAAGAAAAATATATATCTATATATGTGATCTGACAGAAGAAAACTGTTAAAAATGGATATTATTGGAGGCAATTTAAGACAATTGATGTGAATTACCATTTTGATGAAGAGAGCAAAACAATGTGTTATGAGCACTTGCTAATAAACATTATACTGCCAGCATCGATTTGCTTTTTGGTGTACGAAAAGCTTGTATGATTTCTCTCATTGGGTGACATTTGCCAGACAAGGGGAGGCGAAGCAGCCGGCAGGGCTGGGCACAGGCCTGGCCTCCCCTGGGTGTATCTCTGGAGTGGTGACTGAAGTTGAAACTGGGATCACTGTGATTTTGCACAAGGAAGATGCAGATTGCAGGCATAATTCATCTCCGACATTAGAGAAAAGGCTGTTATAGCACAATTTAAATCTTGAGAGCTTTTTGTTTAGATAGGAAAGGCCAGTAATCCTTTTAGTTTCATTTCATAGCCTGTAACTTTTTGGATGTTTCCAAAATTCAGAAGAAATTCGGTAAAGGCACCCAATAGATTGCTACTCTTTCTTTCATTTTCATACTTAGATCTGCTGTACATTGTATATATAATTTTTGAAAATGCAGAAAGAAAATGATTTCCCTAAATATAATTGCAAAACATTTCTTTTACTATTGTGGGGGGCGTATCTAAATAACTGGCATTCATATTAGAGTCTTAATAATAAACCCAGGATCTTTAAAAAAATCTTAATAGATGCTTATTTTCCAAAATTTAAATTTAAGCTACAAAATGTAAATATTCAGTTAATTTGTTAAAGGTACTTTTATAAACTTAAATTCTAACTGAAATTTTAGAAGGTCAGGCTCTTTGAGAAAGAAAGCTACACCCATTTCCTCAGTAACTGTTCTGAAAGTTCATATGGTGGACTGCACCATGTATAAACTGTGAATTGTATTGACAAATAAAGTTTGTAATTAAAGTCAGCATTTTCTGAGTCTCCTGCTTACTGCTGAGAATTTAGATCTGATTCTGACTAAGTAGAACTGCAGGATGTTGCTTTCTATGCTGAGTGGCTCCTTTATTCAAAAATTTCAATATTTTTGATGCAGTATTACTACACTCACTACATGCAGGATCTTTTTTAAAAAAATATTTCTATTGATTTCAGAGAGGACGGGAGATGGGGAGAGAGAGAGAAACATCAATGATGAGAATCATTGATCGGCTGCCTCCTTCATGACCTCTAGTGGGGATAGAGCCTACAACCCAGGCATGTGCCCTGACCAGCAATTGAACTGGTGACCTCTTGGTTCATGGGTCAACCCTTAACCACTGAGCAACACTGGTCGGACACCCTTCAGTTTTATATCCACTATTCGTTTTTCATTCTTTTAGAAGTAAGACAAAGCCCTTCACATGGCCTTCCTTTCGTCTACTTTATGCCATCCTTTCCAGACTCGTCCTGTATTACTCTCCAGTGCTCTGTATAGCGGTCCCACTGGCTTTCTCTCATTTATCACAGGTTATGCTGATGCTGTGTATGGAATACTTGTTCTCCTTTTGCTCCTCAGCCTTTTTCACTTAAACTCCTACTTATCCTTCAGAACCCAGCTCAAGTGTCACTTTCTCTGATAAGCCATCCCTGATATAAATTCAGGTACCTTTATAATATTCTTTTAAAAAACTCTGCTCCTTTCCCTAGGTCACGATTAGATGTTCATCACTCTTCTTCTTTGATTTTTATCTGTCTTTCCCACTAGAATATAATTCATTCGTTTTAATTTACTAAGTTATTACCAGATACTAGCAAAATATAGTACATGATCAAAAAATACTTGATGAACAAAGGAATGAAGATGAAAACAGGGATTTAAATATTGTGACCATCTGAAGAATTCTTGCATATGCATATCCCAAATTTTCTCTGTTCCACAAACATTTGTCTGTCCTCTTCTACTGGCTGAGTAGTAAATAGGATACAAACAGCAATTATTTCTCCTATTAGCTGACCAAAAGAGTCAAAGCCAGTTCTTTAACTAGACAGACTTGCAGTTTGTCATTATATACTCTTACTCCTTATGAGCAAGGGTTTCATTTTACTTCAACTTTTGGCTCACAATATATACTATCAGAGCTTTTCAAGCATAATCTAATCTGGAAAATCTGTTTAGAAATTAATTGCAAAACAAATTTGCTAATAGTACTAAATGTATGCCTTTTATTAGTTAAGAACAAAATGCACATTCATTATCCTTGCCAAATAAAATTTAGCTTTTTCACGCTTAAACAAATTTATAAGAGTCTGGGAAGAAATCCATTATTAGGCACATTTTGAACTGTATCCAACAGAGAATGTTAGTCACTTACATGGTATAATTTTGAAATTAACTCACAGGATAAACATTGGTTTTCATTTAGTTGATTCCTGACTTTGTAGACAGTATCCCTTCCACACTATCCCATTAATGCTGAGTAATATGTAGATGATTTGCATTATATTGTTTTGAAAACACTTTAGACTTTTAAATATTATGGCATTAGACTGTATTAGGCTGTTTCTGTATTTTTACTTAAAAATTTAAATAAGCCCAGCTGGTATGCTCAGTGGATAGAGCATGGCCTGCTGACTGAAGGGTCCTGAGTTCGATTTCGGTCAAGGGCACATACCTCGTTTGCAGGTTCCCCCAGCCCTGGTGGGGGAATGTGCGAGAGGCAACCCATCGATGTGTTTCTCTCACATCAATGTTTCTCTGTCTTTCCCTTTCCCTTCCACTCCCTCTAAAAATCACTAGAAAAATATCCTGAGAGTAGTATTTATAACAAAAATTTTTTTAAACAGGCATCTGTAAGTGGTAATGTCTGGTCCATATTCAAATTTTATCATGCCCAAATATTTCAGAGTTACATCTAACTAACCCATCTTGTTTCTCAGTCAGGGTTTCTACATGCATTGAGAAAGTTGCCTTTAATATTGCCACAGTCTAGATATATACAAGCAGATTAGCCAAGTGTATGAGTCTCTTCAATGATTACATTTTATGTGCAAACAAATGGTTTACTAAGTCAATATTTTTCAAGAGCCTTTAATGTGCCAATCACTAGATATACTCAGCCAAATAAACATCTGCTGTCAGGGAGCTGGCAGGCATGGGTGGGACAGTGACACGCAGCACACACGGAGGAGTCTGCTCACTGCAGGGAGCCCTGAACAAAAGGCTCTAGCCTTTTATGGACAGGAGGCTGAGGCAGAAGGGAAAGGGGGAGGGGCTAGCAGCGGAAAGCTGCTGAGTCAGGGAGGAGGAAAGTGCCTCCATAGGCCCTGGTAAGGAGGCCTCCAGTGCTGGCACCTGTGTCTAAGCTCTAGCCTGCAACTCCATCCAGAAAATCCCAGCATGTCCACTGTGGGAAGGGCAGTTTCCCCCCTGATGCCAATTTCCCTCATGACACTGCATATGGGTGGGCCTGCAAGATCAGTATAGCTCTTGGCCTGTAATGATCTCCAACTTTAAAATAGGGAATAATGTGGATGGATTGGTGCTTTTAGATTGATCACTCTGGCGAAAGTGTGGAATAGGTGCCGAGGGGAAAGCTGAGATGCATGGCAGAAAGGGGACCTGTGGGGTCCCTGAGAGGGATTTCGGTCTGAACCATACCAGGGCACTGGATGGATGCTGGGGCCTTTTGTTAGCATTAGGGGCATGGGCTACAGAAAAAAAAAAAAAAAGGAGAAAGTTTGAAGGGGAGATTGATACTTTGAATTTAAGACACCTATGGAGTCACCCAAGTGAAAACCCTCAATGGGCAATTAGAATACTCAAATGCACCCAGGCCAGGAATCCCATGTGGGGAAATGAATGTGGGAATTACTGACATTAGAAGTCTGTACATTAACAATGACAAAGTGAAGTCTTCACAGTCAATGTTGATAATAATATTCTAAATGTTAATGCAGCCCTGGCCAAGTGGCTCAGTTGGTTGGAGCATCATTTTGTACACCAAAAGGTGGCTGGTTTGATTCCCAGTCAGGGCACATATAAGTACTGCAGGTTCGATCCCTGGGTATGGTGGCAATTGATCCATGTTTCTCTCTTACATTGATGTTTCTCTCTCTCTAGAATGAAAAACACACACACACACACACGGTGTCCCCAAAAATGTATACACATTATAAAGGCAGTGTTCATTAAAATACATTTCATTTTCAAAATGTAATAGAATCTAAAGCTATCAGCTGTGTATACATTTTTTGGGACACCCCAATGGCTCTTAGTTTCTCGGCAGTTTAGCCCCAAAATTTGTTCAAACTAAGGAAATGAAACCAAAGAATGAGGAGAATTAGGTAAGTTGCCTGCAATTCCTTCTGAATGGACTTGAATTCAAGCACTAGAGAGCTCCCATGATTAGATTAAATGGAATCAAAGCCATTTTTGACATTGTGGTCTGAAATTCTTACAGTGTCCATCTGTGGGCAACCATCATAACCAATGGAAGTGGTTAGCTAGTAAGCAGTTCCATCGGCTATGCTTGCCACAAGCCTGCATTAGCTAAGTCTGCATTTTGGGGGTCAGTGGCCTAAGAACAAGCCTTTCTGAAAACCCTTTTACCCTGAGATTCCTGTAAATCCTCTTTGAGCCTTTCTCCCCCTAGTTCCCTGAAGAAGCCTCCTGCAATAAGGCAATCTCCCTTAAATAGGTCCTATTCTCATCCAAATCCAAATAGCAATTTCCTGCAGTAAAATGAGGCTGAGTTTCCATGGAGGAATTAAGTACATTTCCTATTAATTTGTGAATGCCCTCCACATGGCAAGGCTGAATTATAAAAGCTTAACATTTATAGTTTGAAAATTTCTTGCAATGGGCAGTGGAACATGACCAACATTACAATGAGGGACTCTAATTGCCATGAGTTATTTTGGCAATGGCTCTTTGCAGAAAAATATCTATTTAATCAAATCTTGATAATTTTCTGCCAATTAGGTGTAGCAATGCCCTCTGCACACTGCAGGAAATGCTCCGAAGATCAAAGATTTGGAAATGCTTTTCACTTCAGTGCACCACTCAGTCTAGTGCATCTGGGCTTTTCCAAATTTCTCTAAATTGACTCTGAAATTGTTATGTAACCAAGTGAATCTGATCTCTTGTTAACATGACTGTGAAGAATCAAAGCTCTATATCAGTCTTTCCCAAAAGTATTTAGTGAAACACTACCCTTCAGGATTCTTTGGGGGCGGGAAGGGGAGGGGAAAAGAATGTTTTGTGGTAAAAAAACAAAACAAACAAAAAAGGGATGCATCAAACAGTATATCCAACTCACTTAAAGATCCACAACTAACATCAGTAAACTATAAAGGCTTTGAGAAGTCCTACTGTTGATAGGTAATTACCCCCAAACTTAGCAACCTAAAACAAACATTTGTTATCTCATCAAGTTTCTAAAGACAAGGAGTGACTTACCTGCCTTACGTAGACTGGCTCAGGGTCTTTCAAGAGGTTGCAGTCAAGCTGCTGGCCGGGGCTGCAGTTATATAAAGGCTTGGCTGGGGCAGGGGAATCTGTTTCAAAGATGGCTCCATCACATGGCTGTTGGCAGGAGGAAGCAGTTCTTCAGGACATACACCTACCTCTCTACAGCACTGCTGAGTGTCCTCATAACACGGCAGCTCGCTTCCCAAAGAATCGGTGGCCTGAGAAAGAGAGCAAGCAGGAAGCTACAGTGCTATTTTTGGACATATTTTGAACCATCACAAATGGTTTTAATCCATCATTTTCTTTACTTGACCACAGAAGCTTTGAGCGTAATACCTGTTACCATAGCTAATAATCCTGCAGAATGAAACATAATTGGGGAATTGCTATGTTATACTCTTTTTATTTCCCCCTCGAGGAACCTCTGACAGCATTCTCTTGGACAATTGTTGAGGAATTATTAAGTATATGAATCTTCAAAATGAAAGCAGAAGGCAATATATGCACAGATCTGTGAGACA